CTAAAAAGGTATCTGGGAGCCATACTCCCAGGGTTTCTCCAGTCTGTCAGGCCAATAAGTCTGGTCTTTTTTTGTGAGTTAAAATTTTGTTCTACATTTTTCTCCAAGTGTCTGGGACCCTCTACTGTGATCCCTGTCAGAGCAGTCAGCAATGGCAGCTGGGTACCATCTAGTTGTACTGGACTCAGTCTGTTGGAGGCTGTGATAGTTGTGGTCCATTGGCCCTTTGGACTAATCTTTCTCTTGTGTCTTTAGTTTTCTTCATTCTCGCTTGCTTCCGATGGGAGGAGACCAATGCAGTCTCTTAGATGGTCGCTCACAAGCTTTTAAGACCCCAGATGCTACTCACCAAAGTAGAATGTAGAACATTTTCTTTATAAACTATGTTATGCCAATTGAGCTAGATGTTCCTTGAGACCATGGTCCCCACAGCCCTCAGCCCAGTAATTTGGTTCCTCACGGAGTTTGGATGTGTCTATGGAGCTTCCATGACCTTGCCTTGTACAATCTGTGTGGCTTCCCCAGTATTGTGTACTGTCTTACCCTTCACCAAAGTTACCACTTATCTATTGTCTATTTAGTATTTCCCCCCTCACCTCTCCCATCCCTCATAACCATCAAAGATTGTTTCTTTTTGTGTGTGAACCTTTTCATGAGTTTTTATAGTAGTGGTCTCATACAATATTTGTCCTTTTGTGATTGACTTATTTCACTCAGCCTAAGACCTCCAGATTCATCCATGTTATGAGACGCTTCACAGATTCATCATTATTCTTTATTGTTGCGTAGTACTCCATTGTGTATATGTACCATAGTTTGCTTATCCATTCATCTGTTAATGGGCATCTAAGTTGTTTCCCTCTTTTTGCTATTGTGAACAATGCTGCAATGAACATGGGTGTGCATATGTCTACTCTTGTGACAGCTCTTATTTCTCTAGGATACATTCCTAGGAGTGAGATTGTTAGATCATATGGTATTTCTATTTCTAGCTTTCTAAGGACGTGCCATATTGTTTTCCAAAGTGGTTGTACCATTTTGCATTCCCACCAGCAGTGCATAAGAGTTCCAATCTCCCCACAGCCTCTCCAACATTTGTTATTTTCTGTTTTTTTGATTTGTGCCAGTAATGTTGCGGTGGCCAACAACAATTTCTTAATTTTATGGCCATTAATTTTAGGGCCAGCACCTAACTTGGTCTTTTTATTCCTAATAGGAAAGATAGTTCACAAGAGGGTCTAAGCCAGCCAAAAACTTTAGAAGTAAACACAGCAAGCATAAAGATATGTTACCTACCCCATTGTTGTCAAGTCAATTCCAACCTACAGTGAACCTATAGGACAGAGTAGAACTGCCCCATAGGGTTTCCAAGAAGTGGCTGGTGGATTCCAACTGCCGATCTTTTGGTTAGCAGCTGAGCTCTTAACAAGTGTACCACCAAGGCTCCAAAAATAGGCAGCTATTTTAATAATGATGACGTTGATGCTACAGTGTTTTGCAATGCTCACAAACACTTTGGCATAGGTTGTTTCACTTATTCTTCATTTTGTCCTTGTGGGGTAGTCAGAGGTACTACCACCCCACCCAGACCAACTCTTTCTGGTCAGAGTTGGCTGTTCATTCCTCATTGTTCTCATCCTACTTTTTTTTTTTTTTTGCCCCCTTCCTCCATCTTTAAGCCAGAAACATTGCATTTCTCTGACCATTTTTCCCTAGTCACATCTCCCTCTCTCTCTCCTCTTCTGCCTCCCCCTTTCCACTTTTGAAAAAATAAATTTATTTATTTTTATTGTGGTAAAAGACATAGAACATAGAATTTGCCATTTGAGCCATTTTCCCATCCCATTGTGGATTTGCCTCTCATCTAGCAAATATCATGTTGCACTGGAATTTAAGAAGTGGTACCTCGCTTCCTAGGGAACTGTATATCGTATTCATCTTTGTACCTTCTAACATCAGTGTTCCACTGTTTTCAGACTCATAATCTGTAAGTGCTTCATACATGCTTATTTGAAGAAGCTGAGAAGTAAGTGGCAAGTGCAAGGTTATAAGTTCCCGTCAAGTCGATTCTGACTCATAGAGACCCACAGGACAGAACAGAAATGCCCCGTAGGGTTTCCGAGGCTGTAATCTTTACTGGAGCAGGCTGTCACATCTTTCTCCCAGCTGGTTGGTTTGAACCACCGACATTTCCATTAGCAACCCATCACTTAACCATTGCACTACCAGGGGTCCTAGAAAAGATTGTAGCCTAGAAAATCCTAATCATGGCAATCCCATGTGTGTCAGAATAGAACTACACTCTACAGGGTTTTCAGTGGTTGATTTTTTTGGAAGTAGATCACCAGGCCTTTCTTCCGAAGTGCCTCTGGGTGGGCTGCACCCTCCAACCTTTTAGTTAGCAGCCAAGTGTATTAACTGTTTCCACCACCTAGGGACTCCTCAAAATCATCAAACACAAATCCAAATCCTGTAATGAATTCTAACACTTTATCACTGAGACATGCCAAGCTTCCCCATGGTGTGCATTCCCTGCAAGACCCAACAAACACCCAAAGGTGTGTTCCTGGTGGGCTTGGCTGGAGGGCACGGACAGCTCCTTCTCTGCCCAAGGGCTGTGCTGTGTACACCTTGTGGAGGGTTCAATTACAACAGCCCTCTAAGACTTTTGCATTACCTGCACTTGACAGGTAAAGAAATCGAAGTTCATAGACAGTAAATAATTTGCCCAAGGTCAAACCATTAGCAAGAGGCAGGGACAAGATACCAACTTCCGGCTACCCAACCTCAAGGTCCAAGTGCTTTGCCTTGAGCACTGTGTTTCCCGCGCCCTTCCCGGGCGCCACCTAACCCCTACGCCTCCCTTTCCTTTCTTCTGCTTGCACTTGTTCAAGGGCAGACTAGGATGATACAGAGAGCTGCCTCACAGACACGTTACGTTTCCCGCAAATCTTCCGTGTGCTGCTGAAAAAAGATTTCAGACCCAGAAACGCTTTGCAACTGCAGAGGCCCTTGATAAAGCCTGCGACGCAACCCGCAACCCTCAGCGGCGGGAATGTCGCACCTCTACTCAGGGTCCTCCCCTCGGCCTCTAGGCGCGGCGAGAGTGCTGTCCGGCTCGACCAATCCCCGCGGGGAACCGCCACGCGGCCCAATCGCAGGAAGGCCGGGGCGGGCAGTGGTAGTGTGGGCGGGACTGGGGCCCGGCGGGCGGGGCGGGGCTCGGCGCTGGCTGGAGTTCCGCTCCACCTTGGCCCCGCCTCACCCCAGCGGATCGCAGCCGAGTCACCACCGAGAGAGGGCCGGACCGATGGATCGCAGACCCACGGACTGACTGACGAGCCCACGGTGCAGCCCGGTGTTTTGGCGCTCCTCAAGCTCGCCGAGGCCGAGCCCGCAGGGCCTGCAGAAGCAGAGGGCTGCGCTGGCCGAGTAGACCTGACCCCTTCCGCAGCGCTGGCCGTGTAGACCTGCCTCCTGCCCTCCCCCGCAGCGCTGGCCGTATAGACCTGCCCCAGCCCCGACTGCAGCCAGTGCCCGGCGCGTCAGCGGCTGCCCCTCACGCCTCTGGGAGCTTGGCCATTGCCCTAATCGCCACGGGAGCACACAGCATCAGAGGAGACAGCCCGCAAAGATCCGGGCCCCGAAAATGCTCAGACTCGCGCCTAGCCTGACAGAAGGATTGTAATCGTGGGGGTGAGTTTAAAAAAGAAAAAAAACCCCTTCGCTCGTGAGCTGCTTTTTGAAAGGCCTTTGTTACTGAGCAATAAAATGATATCAAACAATCGCACAACTGTCATGACCCAAGAGGAACCTCATTGTTTACTTTATGAAAAGTTGCTGGTAGTGCATAATGTGGGATCCGCAGTGCAATCACTGGACAACCGAAATGGGTGACAGTTTATAAAGATGATTTCAAAGAATCTTAAAAGTGGCTTGAGTCCTAAATGGAAAAAATGGAAAACTTGGCAATCTCAGTTTACTGAGTGCTAACCAGGCAGTTGCCTCGGAGCGGACCCCGTCTCATAGTCACCCCATGTGTGCAGAGTAGAATGGTTTTCAATGATTGATTTTTCATACATAGAGTTTTCTTTTCTTTTTCGTTGTTGAGAAAATACACAGCAGAACATACACCAATTCAACAGTTTCTACATGTACAGTTCAGTGACATTGATTACATTCTTCACGTTGTGCAACTATTCTCACTCTCCTTTTCCCAATTGTTCCTCCCCGTTAACATAAACTCACTGCCCCCTAAGCTTCCTATCTAATCTTTCGAGTTGCTGTCGTCAGTTTGATCCCATATAGATAGATTTTAAAAGAGTATAATGCTCAATCAAGGTAGAAATTCTTTACTAGTTAAGCTAAAGTATTGTTTTGCTTAGAGAAGACTTCAGGGGATATTTTTGGTTTAAGTTTTAAAGATTATCTCAGGGCAATAGCTTCAGGGGTTCATCCAGCCTCAATGGCTCCAGAAAGTCTGAAATTCATGAGAATATTAAATTATGTTCTGCAGTTTCCCCCTTTTGATCAAGATTCTGCTGTAGGATTTTCTAATCAAAACGTTCAGTAATGGTAGCCAGGCACCATCCAGTTCTTTTGGTCTCATGGCAGAGGAGGCAGTTGTTCATGGAGGCAATTAGCTACACATTCCATTTCCTCCTATTACTGACTCTCCTTCTTCCCGTTTTCAGTGGCTGATTTTTTGGAAGTAAATCACCAGGCCTTTCTTTTGAGGCACCTCTGGGTAGATTCGAACCTCCAACCTTTCAGTTAATAGCTGCATGCTTTAACTAAGTGCTTTAACCGTTTGCATCACCCAAGGACGCCACTGAGTACTCCACAGTTAAAGTTATTCTTCTAGGACATGCTTACTGCTCTCTGTTCTCTAGCTGGTTTTTTTCAATGTTTACACCACAAAATTCTTCAGACTTCACCCTCATGTCATTGAAAATCTAGCCTTTGAGATAAGAATGCAGCTGATTATCACTCTCCTTTAGTTTTCTTACAGGATTCAACTACCTACCCAAGCAATATGAAGGTTTTATTTGTAGAACCTGCGATTTTCCTTAGCGCATTTGCTATGAGTTTGACCACGCCACTGACAACACAATATGTTTATAGGAGAATATGGGAAGAAACAAGCAACTACAGCATTGCATTTGACAGCAATATTTCTGAGTGTGAAAAAAACAAAAGCAGCCCCATTTTTGTACTTCAGAAGGTAAGAAATTAAAATAGCCCTAAAATGTAATAAAAAGGGACTGTGTAACTGGGTTTTAAATGAAAGAAAGACATTGCCCTCATTATACAATGGTCTTTCAAGGGTGACCATAATCCATTGCTGTCAAGTCGATTCCAACTCATGGTGATGCCGTGAGTTACAGAGTAGAACCACCCCCTAGGATTTTCTTGGCTGTAATCTTTACAGAAGCAGATTGCCAGGCCTTTCTTCCGTGGCACCAGTGGGTAGGTTTGAACCACCAACCTTTAGGTTAACATTTGATCACAAACGCTTATGCCACTGAGGGACCCTAACACAGTATCCAAACCAGACCCATTACCATTGAGTTGATTGCAACTCACAGTGACCCTGTAAGACAGAGCAGAATTGCTCCATGGGGTTTCCAAGGTTGTAATCTTTATAGAAGCAGACTGCCACATCTTTCTCCCATGGAGCGGCTGGTGAGTTCAAACCACTGACTTTTCGGTTAGCAGACGAGCGCTTAACCAGTGTGCCACCAGGGCTCCTAACAAAGTATGAAACCAGAAAAACCAAACCCACTGCCGTCGAGTCAGTTCCGACCATAGTGACCATACAGAACAGAGTAGAACTGCCCCATAGAGTTTCCAAGGAGCAGCTGGTGGATTCGAAGTGCCGACCTTTTGGTTAGCAGCCGAATGCTTCACCACTGTGCCACAGCATACGGGGCACCAGAAATACAAAGAGGAACTTTGTATTTGCTTTGAGGAACTTGCACTCTTTTAGAGATGATGGAACCTATCTATGAAAAATAAAAATGAAAACCCTGACGAGGTAGCTAACTGCTGGCTGAATGGAACAGACAGTAGGCCCCTGGACACTGAAAAGGTAGAGCTCGTTGACAGCTGGGATGAGCAGTGGGGAAGACTTAGGGAAATGAGACCATTGAACTCAGCGTAGAAGGAAAGACAAGACAAGTGGGAAGGCAGGACAAGCGAAAAGGAAAGTGGCTGAGGTTAAGAAGCATACTGCATGTTTTGGAAAGACATGCAGCTTGGAGCAACAGTGGTGGATGAGAAGAAGGGCCAGATTTGGAAGGCTGTAACATCACCCAGGAGACCTGGCAGCGCAGTGGTTAAGAGCTTGGCTGCTAACCAAAAGTTGGCCTTGCGGGTCCACCAGCCGCTCCTCGGAAACCTACAGGACAGTTCTACTCTGTCCTGTAGAGTCGCTATGAGTCAGAATCGATTCAGTGGCAATGGGTTTGGTTTGTTTTGGTTTAAACATCATCCACGGAGCCCTGGTGGCACAGTGGTTAAAGCACAGTGGTTAAAGACTGGGGCATATAGGGTTGCTATAAGTCAGAATCTACTCGACAGCAACTAACCACAGAAGAGAATTCAGGCTTTATTGGAAGATGAGCTGAGGTGGGGAGGAAATTGTGAAAACTGGCCTTAGAGGGAAGGCTGTACTACTTCTTGAGCGTTACCCCAGTGCCAGGCGGGAACTTGCTGGGTTGAGGCCTGGCTGCTCAGCAGAGCCCCTGTTCTTACTCATCTCCTGATGTCTGTGGGAGAAATGTCCTTGGAACTGATTCTTTCTGGGCAGCTATGAAGACATCAAGGTTCTGGCCTAAAGTGAGGTCATGTGGGAAATAGGCTGAAAGAAATTAGGGGTACTGGGGCCTCAGACTAAAAGAGAAGGGCCAAGGGACTCATGGCATCATCTTGTCTTCCTTCAAGAATGTTTCCTATTATACATCATTCCCTGGGAGTGAGAAGGTTCAGGTTTCATCGGTTTCTGTATTTGCTTCACCAGATCTCTTGGAACAGGTCCCCTAGTGCTAGTGGGAGGGAGGAGAGGACTTGAGTGACTAGAAAAGTCTGCTGCTCTTGTCCTCCTAAGGAGCTCTGGTGGCGCAGTGGTTAAAGTGCTCTGCGGCTAACCAAAAGGTTGGCGATTCAAACCCACCACCCACTCCACGGGAGAAAGATGTGGCAGTCTGCTTCCAGAAAGATTACAGCCTTGGAAACCCTATGGGGCAGTTCTACTCTGTCCTAACAAAGTCGCTATGAGTCGGTGTCGAGTCAACAGCTATGGGCTTGGTTTTGGTTTCTTGTCCTCCTGGATAAGTGAGGTGAGACAAGCTTTGATCTAGTTGGTGGCCAGTCCTCTGTGTCTGTACAGGTGACACGTGCCACCCTGAACTCCAGCCTGGCCAGCTGCTCAAGCCCCCAGTGCCCTCAACAATGGTCTCCTTTTGAAGACGTTTACAAAATGTTTAAATGGGTTGACCAGTTTTCATTTATTGTTTTCTTGATCAGATTAATTTTTAAGGGAACAGCTGCCCGAGAGCACTTCCTTTATAGCTGGTGCTCAAGACCTACAGGTGCTGTGCTTTTCTCAGATTGGGGAACCAGAAACCACCCTATCATGCACAGCTGGGACAGGGTGTGGCGGCACACCACCATTTAGTCCTTAGGACAGAGGGGCTTGTTTGTTTCCCAGGAGGCACTGCCTCTGGCCCCTTTTCAGGGTCTGTCCCTGCTCAGCTTCTCAGAGAACATTCTCTTCCCTCAGAGACAAGAGCAAATGCTTCCTGTTGTTCCCTAAATGCCTTTCTCTAGCACCCGCTTCTGCTGGATGGGCTCCACCACTTGCTCACTCAAAGAAACTTAAGGGTTTGTAGACTATCCTTGTAGCGCCCAAAATGCGTGATGTCATGCAGTACAGGGTGAGTCCCTAATGGCATAAATAAACATTTTTCTCTTACCGCTCTCCAAAAGCAAAGTTGTGTGTAAGAAGACAGTGCATATTATGATCATGTGTTGGACTTCTTACTATGATATCATATTTATTTATCCTAGGAAAAACTTACAGCTAACACGATAACCCCCAAACGAAACCCACTGCCATTGAGTCGATTCCGACTCATAGCAGCCCTACAGAACAGAGTAGAACTGCCCTGTAGGGTTTCCAAGGCTGTAAGTCTTTATGGAAGCAGACTACCACATCTTTCTCCCATGGAGTGGCTAGTAGGTTGGAACCACCGACGTTCCGGTTAGCAACCATGCACTTAACCACTGCACCACCAGGGCCCCTGCTAGATGATACTTAATGGTTAAAAAACTGAATGCTATTCTCCTAATACTGGAATAAGGCAAGGATGTGGATCTCACCACTCCTTCCCACATGACAAATACAGACATATTGAGATGCATGGTAATGTATATTTCAGGGCATGGGTATAAGAGTCCAAACTGAGCTATCTTACTTATATTTAACATTGTGAAATTCTATATGGATGAAAGTCTTATTTTTCAATTTATTGGGACAGATAGATGACAGACAGATGGACAGACAGATATTTGTGTGTGTGTATACACACGTCCATTGCATTGCCGTCGAGTTGATTCTGACTCATAGTGACCCTATAGGACACAGTAGAACTGCCCCATAAGGTTTCCAAGGAGTGGCTGGTGGATTCGAACTGTTGACCTTTTGGTCTTAACCAGTGTACAACAAGGGCTCTGTAGCAATCTTATGCAGACGTGAATAACTCAGTATTGATTAGATTACTAGGCCTTTCTTCCGAGGTGCTTCTGGGTGGACTCGAATCTACAACCTTTCAGTTAGCAGCCAAGCAAGTTGACTGTTTGCACCACCCAGGGACCCCTGTTTGGAAACAAAGTGAGGGTAGTGCTGAAAACTTAGGTTGGGCCCCATCTTGAAGACCTTCAATACCAATCTAAGGATATGAACTTTATCTGGGAGGCAATGGAGCGATAAAGAGCCCTAGTGGCACAGTGGTTAAGAACTCGGCTGCTAACCAAAAGGTCGGCAGTTTCTAACCCACCAGCAGTGACCACATGTCATCTTTATGATGATCTGCTTCCATAAAGATGACAGCCTTGGAAACCCTACTGGGCAGTTCTACTCTGTCCTATAGAGTCGCTATGAGTCGGAATCGACTTGAGGGCACACAACAGCAATGGGGAGATGCGGAAAGCTGTTAAACAAACGAAGGACGTGCTTTGACAGGAGTTCCCAGGATCAGGTGTCTGATTTGCAGAGAGGACTGGCAGTTGTATACTCTACTGAATAGAGACCAGCTTGATGCCAGGGTAGTCGAGGCGAAAACTAATGAGGGTCATTTGAGGGACAACTGTGGGACTATAAAGAAGGCGAAGGGTGTGAGAACAACTGAGTGACTAAGATAGATTGTATTGGTGGTGGGGGGAGAGGAGTGCAGGAAGAACAAGAAGCAAAGAGGACAAGGTTTGAATTTGAGAGACTTAGGACATTACCTGGAAACATGAAATTGCTTGAGTTACATGAATATGTTGTTGTTATTAGGTGCCGTCGAGCCAATTCTGACTCACAGTGACCCTATAGGACAGAGTAGAACGGCCCCATAGGGTTTCCTAGGCTATAATCTTATGGAAATAGATTGACAGGTCTTTCTTCCGAAGAGCTGCTGGGTAGGTTTGAACTGCCAACCTTTTGGTTAGTAGCCTTGTGCTTAATTAACTGCTGCACCACCAGGGCTATAAAAACAGGCTTACTATTAAAAAACATTAATTCAATATTTGATATTATTGAAGTTCATCAGTTGTTTAGGGTGTGTTATGGATTGAATTGTAACCTCCAAAAATCTGTGTTGTAAATCCTAACCCCGATACTGGTGGGTGTAATCCCATTTGGAAATAGAGTTTTCTTTGTTATGTAAAAGAGGCAAGATCAGTGTTGAGTGTCTCTTACACCAATTACTTTTGAGATATAAAAGGAGCAGATTAAGCACAGAAGCAAGCAGGCATGAATAGGGGGAAGATAGCTGCCATGTAGCCATCTCCAAGGAATGCTAAGGAGACTGCTAGAGAAGCTGAGGCAAAGACCTTCCCCCAGAGTGGACAGAGATGCCTTCCCTAGAACCAGCACCCTGAATTTGGACTTCTAGCCTTCAAAACTGAGAAAATAGATTTCTGTTCATTAAAGCCACCTACTTGGAGCATTTCTGTTATAGCAGCACTAGGTAACTAAGACAGGGTGCTTTCTAGATTTTACATGAATACATCTCTCTCTCTTTTGAATGAGCTTATGAGCTTAGTATTTCTCATGATAAAAAATGGTACATACTCTATTACCCTTGCAAAATACAGAGACGTGGCAAGCCAAAAATGCTTTAAAATTACCCAGAATTCTTCCCGTCAAATAACTAGTGCGACCACTGTGTGTTTTGTTTTTGTCTTGGTCTCCAGGGGAGTTGAGTCTGTCTTACTGCTTAGTTCATGCCATGCTACCATCTTTAGTTGATTCGGAGCTCCTCTTTGGGTTTCATTTTATGTTTCATTTTCTTTTATTTAGTAAACAAAGGAATAAGTTTCTCACTAATCTATTTCTGGAGGCACATATGTAAAAAGGGCAACCAAGCTCTTCCTAACTACAGCTCTATCGAGCGTGGAATTTACCCGTCTCATTCATTCTCTCGTAGAGTCGATCGGAAGACGTATCATGGGAAAGGGTATTGTTCTTGCTTTAGAACAGTTGTCATAATCTCTTAGTGCCAACTGTTCAGAGAAGAAAGAGAAATCATTATAGAACTAGTACCAAAAGCCTTGGGGTTTTTTTTGGGATTCTCCCCATGAATCCTCTATATAAGACCAATAAAAGACCAATACTCTAAAGGACAGGCAGAAGGAGAAAAGACAGACACACACCAACACACAAATTTTTCTTTTCATGGGTGAGGGCCCCCATCTTGGTACTTGAATATTATGACTGAGAGCTGATATTTATCTCTCGATATTTGCTTTGTGAGCCGGATGAAGATTTAAGCTGTTTCGGACCCAAGTTCCAGAATTCCCATCCACGACCTACTGGCGAGGCGAAGAAAAGTGTGCATGATGACTGCCTTTATGCACATTGTGTTCAATGTCTGTAAACACATTTTCTTCTTTTTCTTTGCAGGAAGTTCAGAAAAAAGTGTCTCTTTTTAGTCTGCAGATGGACCTAAGTGGGTTGATTCCTGGGGTAGTGTCCACGTTCTTACTTCTGTCGCACAGTGATCACCAAGGACGGAAACTGCCTTTGGTCTTGTCGTCTGTGGGGGCTCTTGCCACCAGTGTGTGGCTCTGTTTGCTGGCCTATTTTGCCTTGCCATTCCAGCTTTTGATTGCATCTACCTTTATTGGTGCCCTTTGTGGCAATTCTACCACATTTTGGGGAGCCTGCTTTGCCTATATAGTGGATCAATGTAAAGAAAAAAGACAGAAAACAATTCGAATCGCTATCGTGGACTTCATACTTGGACTTACTACTGGACTATCAGGACTGTCTTCTGGCTATTTTATTAGAGAACTAGGTTTTGTGTGGTCATTTCTAATTGTTGTTCTAGCTCTTACTGTTAACTTGATCTACATTTTATTTTTCCTTGGCACGCCCGTTAGAGAGACTCCATCTCAGAATGTTTCCATGTCATGTAGCGAAGCCTTTAAAAACCTCTTTTACAGAACTTACATGCTTTTTAAAAACATTTCTGGTAAGCGAAAGTTTTTGCTCTGTTTGTTACTTTTTACGATGATCACTTATTTTCTCGTGATAATTGGCATCTTCCCAGTTTTTATCCTTTATGAGTTGGACTCACCGCTCTGCTGGAATGAAGTTTTTATAGGTTACGGGTCAGCTTTGGGGAGTGTCTCTTTTGTGAGCAGTTTTCTAGGCATATGGATTTTTTCTTACTGTATGGATGACATCCATATGGCCTTCATTGGACTTTTTACCACCTTGGGAGGGATGATTATGACAGCTTTTGCCAAAACAACGCTGCTGATGTTTTTAGGTGAGTAAAAAAATGTAGCCTGAGAACTCACCATATATTGATTTTTGCATAAAATGAATTTAGTCTGTTGGGTGAGAAACTTTAAAGTTTTCTATTTAACCCATTCTAGTTTGATTAAGTTATTTGTTGAAAGCTAGTTTGCCAGAAGCCAATAAGCCAACAGCCAATTTGCTAAAGAAATAAAAAAAGAATTCACTGAATCACCACAATTTTCCAAACATGTTTTGAGGCACATTCTTCTTAAGAATCAATTCTTCAATATCGCTTTCACCGACTTGACCATTTCTTAAAATGTTGCTAAGAAGACTTTCAATAAGTATATTTAGAATGATTATACTAAGTATACTCAAAAAAGATTTACAGCAAGAAGAAATTCACCCTTATTAAATATATTCAAGAAGAAAATCCTTTGAAACAAGGTTTTGCAAATTGATCTTTTAGCAAGTAGGTCATTTCATGAATTGGCTTTTTGATGGATTACTTTTTGGCAAATTGGCCTGCTTTCTTAACCATCTACCACTCAAGTGTTTGTGGATGGCTTGTGTCAGAGTTTGCAAGGGTTATCTGAGCTGTAAAGTGGGGCCTTGGGAAAGGTCAGTTTGGTCTTTTCTACAATTGGTAGTAACCCTTTTCTCCCTTGCAGGAAAGTAGTGTGATCAGACAGAACTGGGCTAAATTTCTGTCTATAGAAGTAGGTGATCTTGGGGCAAGTTACTGAGCCTTGATCTGTGAAATGGGCAGAGTAGTACCTAATTCAGAGAGTTATAATGAATAGTAGAAGAGACAACTGTAAAGCACCTAGCACTATGTCTAGTAGTCAATACATGCTAGTTTTTCTCCCTGTCTCCCTTAGTGCTGCCAAGGCCAAGTAAGTTAATATATGTGAAAACACTAGGAAAACTTTAAAGTGATTGGCAAATGTAATATATTGCTATTTTATCATATAACTAAAAATGCTACTGACTATTGTCGTTGGGTGCCTTTGAGTTGATTTTCAACTTATAGCTACCCCATGTGACGGAGTAGAACTACCCCATAGGGTTTTCTAGGCTGTAATCTTTAAGGAAGCAAATTGCCAGATCTTTCTCCTGCGGAGCAGCTGGGTGAGTTCGAACCACCAGCCTTTCAGTTAGCAGTCACACGCTTAAACGTTGCATCACCCACCAAAACCCAAAAAGCCCATTGCCATCAAGTTGGTTTCAACTCAGCAACCTTATAGAACAGAGTAGAACTGCCCCATAGGGCTTCTAGGCTGTAATCTTTACGGGAGCACATCACCAGGTCTTTCTCTTGTGAAGCAGCTTGTGGGTTTGAACCGCTGACCTTTTGGTTAGCAGCTGAACGTTTAACCACTGTGCCACCAGGGCTCCTTTACTGACTATTAAGGGTCATAATTTCAGACGAGGGGCGATTTGTGTTCATGAAGCTATTCAGCCATGAAGATTAACAAGCATGACTGTATCAAACTGGTTTATCAGTAAATGAATCAATATAGTAAAGGAATGCTAACAGAATGCCCAGTCTGAAAAAAGCAAAAACCAATCAACCAAACAAAAAACTAATTAACAGTCACAAGTTGCTAAGCAAAAGGTTACTACCGTAATTAGCGGAAAATAGGCAGATCGGTACCAATTGGCAGATAATACAGATCTGGACCTAAAACTTAGAACTCTTGTTCTTAGCACTGGAATAACAATTCTGGAGTAAACTAACCTTAAACTGACTTGTCCACAGTCTATTTTAATCTGTTAAATAGATTTCTACAAGTAATTAATTCACTTTTTAGATGCAGTGAGTTAGGATGTTGGTAGAATTAGAGAATGTTTCACATTTGAAAGTGACCCTTAGTTTTCTTATTTATTTAGCCAATGATTTCCAATATTTCTCTCACAGTCAGGCTGCTGTTCATTTTTATGATTGTGCCGCTCTCTGTTCTACGGTCCATGTTGTCCAAAGTGGTTTGTTCTTCTGAACAAGGTGAGTTTCGTTTGCTTAAGGAATACAATGAATCTATAATCTATCCCAAGTCAAACCTATATATGATCCATATTTGATTCTTGAGAATATTCTACACCTCTTTTCCTGAATGCAACTCCTTTTGAATTAAGTGATAGCTGTATGTTAGGAAAGGGCTTTAGAGGGCTCCCTGTGCCCCAGGAGGAGAGGAGACCATAGGACCAAGGGGATATACCCACTGGGAGTTCATAACCTCCACCTCCTCAATGGGACTACACTCTGGCTACGTGAACTCCCCTAATTCCCAGCTGAAACAGCTGTGGCCTCACTTCCATTGAGTGCCTGGAGGATCCTCGTCCTCGAGCCCTTTCTCCTAGGGTACATACCTCTAGGCCAAGGGGTGGCCAAGAAGAGACTCTTTCTAGGGGGTTCTACCCTGAGCTTGGACTTGCAGAGTGGGATGTCTGTACCTATGCACAAAAGACTCTTTCTGAGCAGGATGGAACAAGGAGTAGAGCAGAATGGGAGTGGGCTTCAGGCTGGGGAAAGAGGCTGAGGGATTTTCCAGAATTTTCATGTTCCTCCATGGAACTCTTTAAGAGTTACATCTGAGAATTCTAAAGTTGTGCCTGCCTTCCCGATCATTATCAGGTGTGTTTTTCAAGGTAGGGAGACAGAGCATATTTCAGTTAATGGTTTGTTAGAATTGTTAATACTACCAATTCAACAGTTCCTGTATGTACAGTTCAGTGACATTGATTACTTTCTTTGAGTTGTGCAAACATTCTCACCCTCCTTCTCTGAGTTGTTCCTCCCCCATTAACATAAACTCACTGCCCCCTAAGCTTCTTATATAATTTTTTGAAATGTTGTCAGTTTGATCCCATATAGATAGATCTTAAAAGAGTATAATGCTCAAGGCAGACATTCTTTACTAGTTAAGCTAAACTATTGTTAGATTTTAAGATTTCAGGTAATATTTTTGGTCTAAAGTTTAAAGATTATCTCAGGGCAATAATTTTGGGGGTTGATCCAGACCCTATAGCTCCAAAAAGTCTAGATTCCATGAAAATTTTAAATTCTGTTCTGCATTTTCCCCCTTTTAGTCAGGATTCATCTATAGAGTCTTTGATCAAAATGTTCAGTCATGGTAGCTGTTGTTATTTTTTAAAAAAAATGGCCCTTTTGTGAAAATATTATTCACTTTAAAATAATCAGAGGACAGGGAAGTTGCTGCAATGCTTTCATTGTACTCAAAGAAGATACCTCTCACTAGCTCTATTAAGAAAAGTGAGAAAACGGAATTGGGGTATTATTTTGAAATGTGCTCTATATAGCTGTGGCAGTCGTTTACCTCATCATCACCCAGGTATTCCTTGTGAAATTGCAACACGGTAAAAACTTGATCTTTTTTTATTATATTTGGTTTATTTACATTTGATTATATTTGCATTTAAAAAATTTTAGAAAATACGCTATTTTGCATTTATTGTTTAATCCTATTCATCTCAACCATGAAACAGGGTAACTGCTCCAGGAAGTTAAGCCACGAGCTAAGGCTACTTCATAGTCGCATGTTGCTGGTATCAAAGCAGATGGTGCACCGTCTGACCTCATTCCTATCAGGGATGGATTAAAGCTGTTGCATAAGAGGACCAGGTCCTGTGCAGTCCTCCATAGCACTATTTGTGGCTGTAGCAAGGGAGCCAGAAATAAAACGATGATGTAGTTAGACAAGTAGGAGGACTTCCTCCCAATTAAACTGAATTAAAATATTACTATCAATCATGGAGACAGTATGCCCGTATGCTACTGTCCTTTGCAAGTGTAGTAGATAGACTCCTTAGTCAGTGTGGACTTGAACTCCAGACAAAGCCAAAATCGGAGGACTGGCCATACAATCATGTCACAGTCTTGGACAATGCTTAATGGCCCCTTGTCATTTGCCAAACTCGCTGTGTAGGAATTGCGAATGGCAGCAGAATCCCCGTTCTTCTTGATCTTGCAAGCCACCTTGGAGCAGAGGCAGTTACAAGCACGTGAAACAGAAAAATGGTTTAATCAATCGCTTAGCATCAAACTGTGGCATGAACCTTCACTAGCACAGGGTAGTTACTTAAGGTAGTTACTTAATGAGCCAGACAGAGTAGAATCTTCTGGTGACTGAATGTTTTTATCAGTTGGGAGGGAGGGATCAAATTCACATGGCAGTGTGTGTGGTCAAGAACTCACCTCTCTCCCTTCAACTATTCCTGTAGCCAGACCTGAGAACCGTGCTTGCCAGGGGCCACCCTGCCTTTACAGGGTCTCACAGATTAGCATGGGAGTGGAGAGTGGGAGAAAGCATCTTGAAGGACAGGGTCAGTTGTGGCTGTGGCTGAGGCCTTGGTGGCTTGGAGAGACATCACGGTTTTCAAATGAGGTAGCTGCCACTTGCCATTGCCTCTTTTGGCTTTTGCCTTTATGGTCATTGGAACCCAAGCTATTTTGTGTTTTCAAATTCTCCCACATCAAGTTCACAAACATTTTTTTTTAATGTGATTTGTTTTATTGTGACAAAATATATATCACACAAATTTGCAATTTTTACCATGTTTCCATTCTTTTTGTTGTTGTTGTTGTGAAGATACACAGCACATACACCAGTCAACTGTTTCACATGTACAATTCAGTGACATTGATTACATTCAAGTTGTGCAGCCATTCTCACCTGCCTTTTCTGAGTTGTTCCTCCTCCATTAACATAAACTCACTGCCACCTAAGGTTCCCATTTAATCTTTCGAGTTGCTGTTGTCAGTTTGATCCCATATTTAAAAAACCCGTTGCCACTGAGTTGATTCTGACTCATAGTGGCCCTTTAGGACAGAGTAAAACTGCCCTGTAGGGTTTCCGAGGAGCTGCTAGTGGATCCGAACTGCCGACCTTTTGGTTAGCAGCTGTAGCTCTTAACCACTGTGTCACCAGGGCTCCAATCCCATATTAAAAAAAAACAAACCCATTGCTGTCAGTTGATTCTGACTTATAGCGCCCCTATAGGACAGAGTAGAACTGCCCCATGAATTTCCAAGGAGCGACTGGTGGATTCAGACTGCCAACCTTTTGGTTAGTGGCTGTAGCGCTTAACCACTTCGCCACCAGGGTTTCACCAATCCCATATAGATAGCTCCTAAAAGAGCACAGTGCTCAAGGCAGACATTCTTTATTAGTTAAGCTAAACTATTATTTGATTTTAAGAAGACTTCAGGGGGATATTTTTGGTGTAAGGTTCATTTTTTTTTACCATTTTTAAGTGTACAGTTTGGTGACATTCATTAATTCACCATGTTATGCAGCCACCACCACTGTCCATTTTCAAATGTTTTTCATCCCCCTAAACAGAAACTCAGTACCCCTTAGGGAATAACTCCCAGTCCCCCTCCCCCCAGCCCCTAGTAACCACTAATCAATTTTGTCTCTATGCATTTACTTATTCTGTTTCATATAAGTGAGGTCATACAGTCTTCGTCCCTCTGTGTCTTTCATTTCACTCAGCATGTTTTCACGGCTCAAGGAGAACTCTTTACCTCAATTCGTTCATCTGCAAAATGGGTTACTGACCTCTCTTGGAGATTTTGAGGGAATAACTTTGTTCACCAAGAAGTGCCCCCATGTTTGCTGTTTTCAGTGATTCACCGTTTTCCTCATTAAGGTTTTGTTTGTTGTTTTGTAATGCAGCCTTTCATTGTTCTCCTTCCACCCCCTGCCCCCAACAGGTACCCTGTTTGCTTGCATTTCTGTCTTAGAGACACTGGGTGGAGTCCTTGCTGTTTCTGCTTTTAATGGAATTTACTCAGCCACTGTCGCTTGGTACTCCGGCTTCACTTTCCTGCTATCGGCTGCTCTGTTGCTGATTCCAGCCATCAGTCTGTGGTATGTACTTATTTTTTATCATGTTATCAAAGGGTAGCTGGATTAAGTGAACTCCCTAACACCACCGGTAAAAGCACATAGGTTTACTGAAGTTTTGCCTCAGATTATGCTTTTCTCAAGAACTTTTTAGACATGAAGAGATCCATCAAGAATTTTGGAGACTTAGGAAGAGACAGTGACATGGCTGACCAGAAATGGGCCAGAAATTGGGTTAGATCACGACCCCAGGAAGTTATCCCATCCCTTTCAATATGAAAAATTGATTAAATTAACACGTAAGAATAGATTCAGACTGTGATTTCCTATAGTGTCATGTCCTCTGATCAACACAGTAATGACATGTACTTTAGTAGGATTCTTGGGTAGATGACAAGGATCAGCTAGAACACACCGAATATTAGGATACCTGAGCTCTCTTTCCAGAGAGTTGGCTTCTTTAATGACTCCCCTTTTTAAATGCAAATTTTCAATTAAATACAAAGCACCACATTTTATTCATGAATAATGGGTTAAACACTCAGCTGCTAACCGAAAGGTTGGCAGTTCGAACCCACGCAGTGGCTCCTCGAAAGAAAGACCTAGCAATCTGCTTCCATAAAGATTACAGCCAAGAAAACCCTACGGGGCAGTTCTACTCTGTAACACATGGGGTCGCCATGAGTCAGACTGGACTCGATGGTACATAACAAGAAGTATGTACAATAAAGAGCTAGACCAGAGACATAAACGTAGAAGAAATAATATATTTATCCCTTCACCTTTGAGTTACCAAAAAGCATGAGCCAACCAGATAAGTGGTTGTTGAAACACCCAAGCAAATGCACTTGACACAGACTGTGGTGCCGAAGCATCGAGCTGGAAGTTCCTTCTCCCGTCTCTGCTGGGCTTCGTCCATGGTGAGTGGCACAGTGGTGGGACTCAGTAGAAGAGGGGTCAACATGTAGTCAGGACTTCTCGGCTTTCCCTTGAGCAGTGTGGGGGATGGCTGTGAGTAAGGGAGAAAAGTGATGCCAGGACCATGGGTGACCTATGAGCACATGCTTTAAGCATTCTAAACCCAAACCAAACCAGTTGCCGTGGAATCGACTCCAACTTATGGCGACCCCATGTGTGTCAGAGTAGAATTGTGCTCCATAGAGTTTTCAATGGCTGATTTTTTGGAAGTAGATGGCCAGGCCTTTCTTCTGAGGTGCCTCTGGGTGGACTCAAACTTGCAGTCTTTCAGTTAGCAGCCAAGTACCCAGGGATTCCTTAAGCATTCTACGAAGACTACACTCTTACTTAAAGGGCTGAACCTATGTCTTATTAGGAGCGCAATACTTATTTCTCAATGAATTCTGATACTTAGTTCTGTGTAAGACATGAACCAAACCAAAAAACCAAACCCGCTGCCATCCAGTCAATTCTGACTTATAGAGACCCGACAGAACAGATTAGAACTGCCCCATAGCGTTTCCAAGGAGTGGCTGATAGATTCGAACTGCCGACCTTTTGGTTAGCAGGCGAGCTCACAATACAATAGTATTTACAATTCCTCTGTGCTGTTGATGAAAAGTCATCTTTGTTAGGTATCTTTTTTTAAAAGAGGCTACTCACCAATTGAATTGGCCGAATTAAAAATACATGCAAAGCTAGTGAGCACCTGACGAGGCGTCAGTCTCCCGCCTCGGTGCTGGTTGTGTTGTTCAGCACTATCATGTTTGGAAAGCAATTCACGAACTCGTATCGGAACCGTTCTGTAGAAAGTTCATAGTGTTTAATCCCCCGATTCCTTTGAGAAACCTATCCTAATGAAATAATCAGGAATGCTGTCAAAAATGTATATATAAAAAAGCTTATTATGGAAAAATAATTAAAAACAACCAAAATGTCCAACAATAAGCAAATGGTTAAATTATGGTAAACCAAAAAATAAAAACCAATTCATTGCTGTTGAGTCGATTCCGACTCACAGCAACCCTGTAGGATATAATAGAACTGCCCCATAGGGTTTCCAAGGCTGTAATCTTTACGGAAGCAGATGGCCACATCTTTCTCCCAGGGAGCGGCTGGTAGGTTTGAACCATTGACCTTTCAGTTCGCAGCTGAGCGCTTAACCACTGCACCACCAGGGCTCCTTTAAATTATGGAATATCCATGTAGTGAAAAATTACTCAATTAAGAATTGTATACATGAGAAGTAAAATGGGTAATTTTAATTTTCTTCACATATGTATAAATACTCTATTAAGAACATATATTACTTTTGTAATTGGATAGATGAATGACAAGGCACCACTTCTAATAATAAGGTAAATATTGATGGGCTTCTGAGATATTTTTAAGCCTATGCTGCTACATATTTTTAAAACTAAAATTACACGCTCTTTTAATTATTTCCAGATGTCCTTGTTTTCTAACTTTGGTTACAGTCATTGGACGTGAACTTCAGTTATAGTTTTAGTTATAACTATTTATGTGGACTGCACAGAGTACGCAGTCGGCCAGGTGGGGCCTCTTGGCGAGCTGGCAGAGGAAGAACTCATGTAGGTTTTTTTTTTATTTTCCAAACATTATGCATAAAGAGTCAGTTGGATTAAAAAAGGTCAGTCTGCAACTTCTATGCGTAATTTGTAAAAACCAAAAACCAAACCCGTTGCCATTGAGTCAATTTTACTCCAAGTGACTAAATGTGACAGAGCAGAACTGCCCCCTAGGGTTTTCTTGGCTGTAATCTTTGCGGAAGCAGATTGCCAGGTCTTTCTCCCACATAGTGGCTGGGTGAGTTGGAACCACCGACCTTTTGGTTAGCAGCCAAGTGCTTAACCACTGTGCTACCAGGGCTCCTAAAAGCCATGTAACTGGGGAAAAGATGGACTACAGATGACTTATGTATTGCCTTAATGTCAATTTTAAAATGTCTTGTTTGCTTTTATAGTATTGTCAAATGCACCAACTGGAATGAGGGGAGCTATGTGCCTCTTGTACAAGAAGAATCCGGGGAGGACGCTTCAGACAGATGATTGTGATTTTAAAGAAACTGAATGCACATATCATATGCTGTGACTTCTGAAGAATGTAAACTAACTCTATACTCAACGCCTTATTAATACACATGTCCTCTCTTCTAGAAGCAACAGTCTGAGAAACAGCTCCTAGCTTTTGCTTTTCATGGCACCATGCACTTGGAGCACTTTGTGAATATCACAGTCATGTATATCCAATAGGGAGTCCTTGTGGCACAGTGGTTAAAGCACTTGGCTGCTAACCGAAATGTTGACGGTTCAAACCCACCGGCCACTCCAAAGGAGAAAGATGCGGCAGTCTGCTTCCATAAAGACTACAGCTCTGCCCTGGAAACCCTATAGGGCGGTTCTACTCTGTCCTATGCGGTTGCTATGAGTCAGAATTGATTTGATGGCAGTACGTTTGGTTTTTTGGTTTGGGTGTATCCAATACATAAAACCATACGAATCCACTGTCGAGTCGATTACGACTCATAGCGACTGCATAGGACAGAGTAGAACTGCCTTATAGGGTTTCCACGGCAAGGCTGTAATCTTTATGGAAGCAGACTGCCAAATCTTTCTCCCATAGAGCAGCTGGTGGGTTCAAATTGCAGACCTTTCGGTTGGCAGCTGAGTGCTTAACCACTGTGCCACCAGGGCTCCTGTCCGGTACACAGAAGACCAAATCTCAAAATACTTTCCACTTTTGGACTTATAAAAGAAATTGAAATTTAAAGCTATAAGGAGGGATTTGAAAACTTGATGAAGACAAAAGCAATAATCTCTGACATGCTGCAGTCTCACATAGAGTCAAAGGAGAACGCTTTACCTCAGTTTCTGTATCTGCAAAATGGGTTACTGACCTCTCTCAGAGATTTAAGAGTGTAACTAATGGAAATTATGATGCATCACTGATAGGAAAACAATGATAGACATTTGAAATATCTATAAAAGAATCCTACCTATACTTGAATAATGGTTTGTTTTACAGAAATGAAGTCCTTAAAAGCACTTTAGAGAACATATATTTTTCCCTTTTCCTAGTATGTTTCATTAATGAAAGACATGATAATATTTCTATATGCAACACAGTGGTGATTGGAGAAAAAAATAAGATTATAAATAAAATTTTTTCTAAAGATTTTAAAACTGAGTAACCAGCTAATCATTGTGTAAAGTAACTAACATTATAAGGCCAGCATTCACTCCTTATTTCAGTAGGAGGACATCCACATTACATAACCCCTAGCAAGGAGTTCTGCTGCTAACTAGTCTTACAGTGCTCTAGTTCACCCTCCCCACTGCATTGAGTCCATCCTTGTGACTACTGTGCCAATCCATCTCACCGAGGGTCTCCCTCGCCCTCACTGGCCCTCTACTTCACCAAACGTGATGTCCTCCTCCAGCGAATGATCCCTCCTGATGACGTGGCCAAAGCAAGTGAGCTGAACAGTGTTCTGTCATAGCCACTAATGGACTTGAAATTACTGAGATTCTACATAAAACCAAACCCACTGCCACCAAGTCGATTCCGACTCATAGCGACCCTATAGAACAGAGAGGACTGCCCCAGAGGGTTTCCAAGGTTGTCATCCTTAAGGAAGCAGACTGCCACATATTTCTCCCCTGGAGTGCTGGTGGGTTCAAACCACCAAACTTTTGGTTAGCAGCCAAGCACTTAACCACTGCGCCACCAGGGCTCCTTGAGATTCTGCATAGCTGGGATTTATATGTAACAGATTATAAATCCAAAAGCAAGAATTATATTTTGTATAGTATGAAATGACCCCGAACACATTAGCACTCTGTACCCAACAAACTGTACAGTATTGTTTTTGAGGATAGACAAGATGGTCTATAAAGTCAAACAGGGTGTTCAGCATTCCATAATTCTGCACATTTCATTTGAAGAGGGTGCAGATGGTATTTAATACAGTTGAAGGATTGGCAGATGGTTTCTCAGTTGAGCAAAAGCTCTGTTTGAGATGTAGTGAATATATCAGGGGACAGGACAGAGGTGGCCCAGAATCAAAATATAGCATGAGTGAACTTAGCCATCTCCAGAAGTGTCCCATCCTAAGAGATTCCTATATGCAATCTTAAGAGACTGGAAACACTCAAGCTGATCGGGTGGTGGTAGCTTGCGTGTTGCTGTGATTCTGGAAGCTGTGCCACCAGTATTTCAAATACCAGCAAGGCCACCCATGGTGGAAAAGTTCCAACAGAGCTTCCAGGCTAAGACAGACTAGGAGGAAAGGCTTGGCGATCTACTTCTGAAAACGTTCACAAGAGATCTTGTCTGATTTGCTCACTTTGGCCACATCATTAGGAGGGATCAATCTGTAGAGGAGGACATCATGTTTGGTGAAGTAGAGGGCCAGTGAGGGTGAAGGAGACCCTCAATGAGATGGATTGGCACAGTAGCCACAATGATGGACTCAATGCCAGCAACCAAGGGGATTATACAGGACCAAGCAACTTTGTTCTGCTGTACATAAGGTTGCCATGAGTTGGGTTGACTTGTTGGCAGCTATCTATATCTATCTACCTACCTACCTGTCTGGATGGTTAAGATTGTGTGTCAACTTGGCTGGGCCATGATTCTCAGTGTTTTGGCAGTCATATAATGTTGTAATCACTTCCCTGTTCCTGCTCTCCTTGCCGGGGCTTTTGCTTGTTCTGGATCCTGCAGCTGGCTCCTGTTTGTCTGACCTCCAGTTCTTGGGGCTTGAGCTAGCAGCTTACCTGTGGTCTTTCCTGCTGATCTTGAGATCCGCCGATCTTCACAGCCTGTCAGCAACAGCCCTGCTGTTGAGCCCGCAGATCTTAGGATTGCCGGCCCCTGCAGCTATGTGAATCAGGAGATGCCTGCAGCAGACTTGCTTTCTGGCTTGCCAATCTTAGTTTCGCCAGCCCTGGTGGCTACGTGAATCAGGAGAAGCCTCTTTCCTGCCCCACGGACTTGTGACGTTACAACCCCTAAAAACCACGTGAACCATTTCCTTGATACAAATCTCTCTATATATACATATATTTATACACTTTACTGGTTTTGCTTCTCTAGAGAACACAGCCTAAGATACTATCTATCCTCACTAACTAATCCTATGGTTACTAATTCAGTGTCCAAAAATCTTGATAATAAGAATAAAAAAACAAAAACCAAACCACTGCTGTCGAGTTGACTCTAAATAGGGTGCTTAAAAAAAAAAAAAAGACTTACTGGACTGACTGAGATTGGAGAACTCTCCAAGACTGCTGCCCTGAGATATTCTTTAAACCTTGAACCAAAACTAGCCCGAAGTCAACTTTTAGCTAAATAACAGATTGGCACATAAAATAAAGAATATCACCCTTGGGAGAAAAAAAAAAAAAAAAATAGGATGCCCTAGGTTCAACATTTTTTTTTGTTTGAACATTTTAAAGTCATGTAGAACCTGTACATATGCCAAGAGGCAGTTGTTCGAACACAACAAGGGGATGCTACCTGGTTTAAAGTCAGGAAAGGTGTGTGTCAGGGTTGTATCCTTTCACCATACTTATTCAATCTGTGTGCTGAGCAAATAATCCAAGAAGCTAGACTATATGAAGAACGCGGCATCAGTATTGGAGGAAGTCTCATTAACAACCTACGATATGCAGATGATACAACCTTCCTTGCTGAAAGCAAAGAATAGTTGAAGCACTTCCTGATGAAAATCAAAGACTACAGCCTTCAGTATGGATTACACTTCAACATAAAGAAAACGAAAATTCTCACAATGGACCAATAAGCAACATCATGATAAATGGAGAAAAAATTGAAGTTGTCAAGGATTTCATTTTACTGGGATCCACAATCAATGCCCATGGAAGCAGCAGTCAAGAGATCAAACAATGTATTGTACTGGGCAAATTTGCTGCAAAAGATCTCTTTAAAGTGTTAAAAAGCAAAGATGTCACCTTGAGGACTAAAGTGTGCCTGGCCTAAGCCATAGTGTTTTCAATTGCCTCATATGCATGCAAAAGCTGGACAATGAATAAGTAAGACTGAAGAAGAATTGATGCCTTTGACATATGGTGTTGGTGAAGAATACTGAATATACCATGGACTGCCAGAGGACAAACAAATCTGTTTTGGAAGACGTACAGCCATCATGGTCCTTAGAAGTAAGGATGGTGAGACTTTGTCTCACATACATTGGGCATGTTATCAGAAGGGACCAGTCCCTGAAGAAAGACATCATGCTTGGTAAATTAGCGGGTCAGTGAAAAAGAGGAAGCCTCTCAACGAGATGGACTGACACAGTGGCTGCAACAGTGGGCTCAAACATAGCAATGATTGTAAAGATGGCGCAGGACTGGGCGGTGTTTATTTCTGTTGTACGTAGGGTCGCTATGAGCTGGGACTGACTAGATGGCTCTTAACAACAACAAAAGGTGAAAGTTTTGCACAGCAAATTAGTTTCCCATTCAACAATTCATACACAAAGTGTTCCGTGACATTGGTTGTTATCCCCACAATGTGTCAGCACTCTCCCCATTTCCCCCTTGCCTTTCCTGTTTCCATCTGTCCAGTTTCCCTGCCCCTCCTTGCCTTCTCATCTTTACTTTTGGGCAAATGTTGCCCATTTGGTCTCACGTAGTTGGTTGTTCTAAGGATTACATTCCTCATGGGTGTTACTATTTATTTTATAGGCCAATCTATTATTTGGCTGAAGGGTGACCTCTGGGAGTGGCTTCAGTTCCAGATTAAAAGGGTGTCTTAAGGTGATAGTCTCGGGAGTTCCTCCGGTCTGTATCAGTCAAGTAAGTTTTGTCTTTTTTATGAATTTGAGTTTTGTTCTACATTTTTATCCTATTCTAACTGGGACCTTCTATTGTGTCCCTGGTCAGAAAGGTCAGTAGTGGTAGCTGGCACCATCTAGTTCTTCTGGTCTCAGGCTAGAGGAAGGTGTGGTTCATGTGGGCCGTTAGTCCTATGGACTAATTGTTTCCTTGTGTCTTTGGTTTCCTTTATTCTCCTTTGCTCTAGATGGGGAGAGACCAATAGTTGTATCTCAGATGGTCGCTTGCAAGCTTTTTAGACCCCAGACGCTACTCACCAAACTAGGATGTAGAACATTGTATTTATGAACTGTGTTATGCCAATTGACCTAGATTTACCTGGAGACTATGGTGCTGAGCCTTCAAACCCAGTAACTCAGTCCCACAAGGTGTTTGGATATGTTTAGGACATTTCCATACCTGTGTCCCCATATGCTCCATTACATATATGAATATATATGCAGTATATACAAATGCCCACAGCTATACCTCTATATGCTCA